CACCACTGAAAAGCAGATCAGCGTGACTTTAGGGTTTATCCCGTCTGCTGTTCATCAAAAATAGGTGTGTAATAAAAGATAATAATAAAACTGCCAGAGCACAGTCACACAGGATCGTTATCTGCGATTCATCATTCTCCAGACCGCTCTTTTAAATAACCATGGAAACTAATTAAAACGATGTGTTTTGTGTAGTTTGAACTTATATAGTACATCAGCAACCCAATAGAATGGCTCGCTTCTGATAATTAGCTGCTGCCTGGACAAATTCAGCAGATTAGCCGAATTCCTAAGCAGTATTCAGGAAGACCGAAACGTCAAATACCAGTTCTTTGTTACGGGGTTGATCACCTGTTGAAGAAGACCAATCATTTTGTATGCATTTCGGTTTATACAGTGTATAAGAAAGATCATTTTTTCCTTCGAGTTCGATTTTCAGGTCACTGAGTCATATGTATCAAAAGAGCAATACAAATCTCGGTTTTCAACGTACTTCAGTTAACGCTTAGTAGTAGTGGTTTGGTGCATAACTTGGGTATCTCAATCTTTGCTGCAGTTGCCTTAGTTTGGCATTTGAATTATGTCATCCTTGGTACATTTGCATCGCTTTTCTCATGTTCAAAAATACACTTATTCAACCTGGATACATTCACGGTTTTCATCGGACGGTTGAAAGCATGCATACAGAACATCAAAACGTCTGGTGAATGATGTTTGCCCGTACCCCGAGCAGGAGAATGCTGTCACTCGAAGGGTTACCAAGTGTTACCAACTTGTGAGGACCTAGCGTGCTAGTGGCAAGATTCGAATACAGGACTTTTACAGATGAACGGTTCCATGGAACATCTGTATTCCATTATTGTGCTGATGTATTATATGTCCCTTCCGTGATAATGCCTCTAAACAAGCGATGACTTCCTTCCCTGTTCTTCAAGACCGTCCACGTACAAGGAAAACCTCCTCGCTCGGTTCCGGCCCAACGCACTCAGCAATTTGTATTGCACACCTCCGCGGACGCTTCCCCAGCCACATCACCACGCCAACTCACCAGTTTACAAACACTCGCGGTAAGTCAGTACGTTAGCAGTATTAGTATAACAGACCCGTTGTTTTGTGACTCACACCATAACCGACTGCATTTCCTGGTGATCAGTTACAGTAATCACTGACGCAAGTCCGAACCCATGAATAGATTTTGCGTTTTTGGACACAAGATGTCAAGATCTATAGTGAATAATTCTCATTATTATTTCCCTATCGATACCCAACAGGCGTCCCCCAAGGCTCAACGATGCACAGCCTTGCCAGAATCACCTCGAAGGGGTTTGATACAAATGATGGACACGGCACTGGAATCACCAACACAGGTGAGTGGACTATATCTCAACCCATACTCACCCATTGATGTGACTATGGAAATCTAATCTATAAAAGGTTTACCCTTAAGCCATCCTAGTTTTCTAAAAGCTCAAAAACCAGATGAATAGCATACTGTTGTTCGATTTGATCATAAAGGAACTGTAGATAGAAAAATGTGAAAATAATTTATAAGATGCTTTTCGATACTGAAAGAAATAAGTGTTTTCGTCGGTTGCCAGTGGCCTCCTATAATAAAAGCTCTTGAGGAAGACCGGTGAAGAACCAGTCAATGGCTTGGCTTTTTATATACGATTTAAAAATCTGGTTAAAAGCGATTGGTGGACTTCCTAGAAAACTAATCCCACCAGCCAGGATAAATATCACCCATAGGTAGAAGAGAAAAGTAGATATGCCGTTCATCCATTCGATTGACTATGATGCGTTAAATGCGAATAAAGAGGATTTAGTGTCCACACATGTTCGGTTTATGTGATTGCTGTTAGATTGACAGACAGAGAGGAATCAACTGGCACCCGGTTTATTACTGAAGAAACAACTCTATTTATTGATCAATTCAATTTTATTCGTAAACATCCCTCGATGTGGTTTTCTGCAGAAAAACAAACAACGACAAAATCAATCATCTTATGTTATGTATTTAAGTTAGATAGCTTCCAGAGGGATTGGATGTATAGAATGTGAACATGGAATCTGACTAACAGTCATGGGAAATCCATAGTGGTAGATTGTAATCTAACCCAGTCCCTAGATAACCTGCTCTAAGTGAGAAAACACTTCTCCTGTAGCATACCGGAACCCATAGTTCCATCGAATAATTTCAGATTACCATATTTATCATGACTGTGATTTTTTAAAACACAGTTCCATCATATTTAAACAATTTTACCCCATAACAAATCTAGCATTCTTCTCAGTGCGCTCGATTAATTCCGAGTAGAGCCCGTAGCTATGAACAGATTGCCTATTCTATAAATTGTCTAATACACATCCATGAAAGATTGTACTGATTGATTGAGATTTCCTAAACCTGGTCGCCTTGATGGGTTCAGGAAATTCACAGAACGTTTCGCTATTGCCAAGTACAAATATATAATAATAAAAGTTGACTTATGCAACCGTCGCTCACCGAACAGATTTTATCGTTACAATTCTAAGAACTCAATATGATTTGCAACGGTGCATATATTGAGTCATCACTTTCCTTCTCTCCCATCCTCTTCTGTGTCCCATAGACCGATCGAATCACTGTCGTGCAATGTTTGGAACAGGTGGGCAAATCGATTGCTCCCTCAAATGAGTGTGTGTGTATGTGGGTGTCTGAAGTCTTAGCTGACCGTTCATTCATTCAGCACGCCTTCATCGACCGATCTGTGTGTGTTTGTGTTTGGGATTCACTGTACAGTGCACCCTTTGCAATATCTTTTCTTTCATTTGCTTCTGAAAACCCGACGTGGATCCACGACTCACGTTTCACAAATCACTGATAATTTTTCGTCCACCGAGATCCTAATTCATCGATTCATCCGTTTTAANCTGTTCACTGGAATGAAAAGATCTCATACTCATTTCCATTCACAGACTAAGGCTTGTTTGCAAAACTTTGCGGTTCAACTGTGAACGTAGCTGTGTTTATTGCCTTGAATATATATATATATACATAATTTTTCATTTGATTTCGTTCACCATTGGAAAATGCACTGTACCACACACGAATACTACCAAGAACAAGAGGGCCTTGTGATGAGTATTATCTGCTAGCCTGTATTTGCAATGTAGATCACATTTATTTGCAGTAATAAACCGTTCTTGTTTAAAGGTGTCATGAAGCCGTTATCGACAATCATTTAGCCACAAAACACGTGATCATCTTGTCAATTGAGCTATTCCGCATTTCCCCCTTAGCCGTATGACATCACAAACTTCCCATATCTGAGCAAGGAGTTAATGTTGCAAGTGACACAATCCGACAAGGGGCCACGAGTGGACTCGGAGACTCTGAAGAACTACACTGAAGGTCCCTTGATTGAGGCCGGGATCAAACAAATCCATCCATTCTTGTCTGACTGGGGTCATTCGGTCGAGGCAGATGGGGAGACGAAACCACAAGTATCCGGTGACCCGGGGGCGGACGCAAAACAGCATACAAAATCGAGCGTGCAGAACTTCCTGAACACATGCGTCCGTTTAAAATCGGTGGATTTACAGGGCCACTTTGCCGCGTTTCACTATCCGTTGCGTGCTTTTAATTCATCCCTTTGGCGTTCATGTGCCCGTTTTGTGGACTGGAATAATCTAAAAGTGATGCAAGAACCCGGATTTATCACGGAATATGCTGAACTGGTAAGTGCTCCCTGGAAACACAAACTATACTATGGGTTCATTGATTAGGCAAGCGGTTTAAAGTTTTGCCTGTATTAGTCCAGACGTGTTTAATACTCAGAAGCTCGAGTGTATGCAATATGATGAGCTCCGTTGTTTTTCATAAACTTTACAGTTTGTATATTTATGTAATTAAGTTACATACATAAATTAGCACACTTTATTCATATTCTTTCTTCACAATATATAAATATGCTAAACTCTTTCTCGGTGTTAAATTTTGTCATCCACACCTCAGCCCGCAATTCATCACGATGGTGAAGGATTTGTCTATGCGGACAAGCCGATCGATGTCCTTTTGACAACTTGGCTTGATTGTCACCAAACATCTCCACCGTCTGAGGTCGTCCCTCAATCCCCAAATACCGCTCTTGTTAAGCCCGCACATATCTATCACCCAATTTCGTTCGCTGTTCGGCTGGATCAGCTGCTTTTGCATACGGAGCGGACAGAACAGGAAAAGGTTGCGGATATCTGCTTCCGTCTCGCAGCCCTGCTCTCTTACGCCCATTGCCGTAAATGTTTGGTAAATTTGAATCGACCATTGAACAGTATTGCTTCGGATCCAAAAGACGTTTTAGTCATACTGTCCACAAGCAATTGCTTGATGCTATTCAAAACATCACCGTCCAATACGGACCAAACGGGACTCGAATATGATCCACTCGTCAAATCACTGTGTTCCCTCGAAGGCTCGGTAGAACAGGGCGTTGATAATTTGGTGCAAAAACTGGAGGAGAAAATGACCAGTGAGACGGAACACTTGAATTTTTCATCTCGGCTGCTCACTGCGATTGCTCCTCCTGACTGGATGGCTTTGTGTTGCAGTCGTATTTATTTGAAACAGCAATAGTGATTTCATCCCCTTTTTCCGACCACTATCCCCAATCGCGTGCCTCGTCCTCTACACTCCGCCCCGCACCCCGCGTCTCACCAAGGCCACCTACTTGTTACTAAGGAATTCCGCCAAGTCCCAGTCGAAAACTATTCGAGCAGCATTCGAGCAAACATGTGGAACACTCGTTATCAATCGGATTCCAGTTTGTCAACAACCAAAAGCAACTGCCGTCAGATCAATAAGTATCACTCACCAATTTTGCCCTGATTCATTTTCTGTGTTTGCGACCTCGATTTTCGGTTTACATGCTTTTGCACATGTGCCTTGTTCCCAAACAACTTCCCGATGTTCAGTGCTCTCTATCCCAGAGCCAAAATAAAGAATGCAGACATTATAAAGAATACTGGGTAGAGACCAACAAAACACAATTATCCAATCAATAAACGCGAATGGAATCACCGTCCCTGCGATTTACAATTCCCGATAGCATGTAATCATATCAATTTCTCAATAGTATCTGCTTTCTTTCTTATCTAGTAAATACCGGAAGATGTGTAACAATAAATAACTCTTGAATTGTCCGACAGTTGCACTCAGCCACAGTTTTGTCTGAGCAACTGTTCTTATTTCTCTCTCTCCCTTTTCCATTCTCTAATTATTGCAAAACACGTGTATTGGTAATCAGTGAGAATTCCCAAATCAGATAGAACAAACCACACACACACACACACATAAGTAAGCATGCAGAGACATACACACAACGCAACGCAACAACAACCACGAGCACAGACACGCACACACACACACACACACAAACACTCAAAATTCCCGTTCAGCTCTAATGTGATTGATCCCAACAAATCCCCTTTCGATTTCACCCTGCTTGTCTGTTTTTTTCTCACCCCCTTCGGTCTACTTTCTCTCATCTTTTTTTGTTTTCAGGACAAAAGTGAGCAATTAACAAAAATATATTTAGTTCAACACCTGCTTTGGACCCGGGAGTGTGAAGTGTGTGCGCTCTGTTCAAATAATACACAATTTGTTCTCCTGCATCGTGCATCGGCTTACATGTTTCCGAATAGCAGAATAACAGATAGGTGATTGGTCGCTTTCTTGGAGGATCTCTGTCTTAAATAAAGTCGGTGGCGCAAAATGTGAGCTGTTAGACATTTCTCACACCAACATTATCAGGAATTGATCCATGGAGTTTGAAGGCAGATCAACAGTAGAATATCCGACTGAAGGTTGCTTCCTAGGAAAACTTTGACTGCTTGTCATTGGAAATTATGAATAGATCATTAATGATCTGGATCTCCCAAAACTTGTATTCTTTCGTGTAAGACGATCAGCTGGAACATCGATAGTTCAGTATGTGGAGATGTCATTCACATTTCTGATATCAAGTGAAAATAGATACGGTATTTGCTTGTGATATCCAGTAGATGAAAGTGGTCACAAGAAGCCAATATTAGAATTATTTGGGCTTTATCAATGTTCCGAGGTGAACATTTTGTGTTCAATACTCTTATCGGTTCTGTGTATCAAGCAAAATAATGTAGAAAGTGTGTGGATAAATAACTGTACCGGTTCGTTCTATAATCCGTCACTTTAATAGTCCATTTTGGTAAATCAATCTCCAATTATTTTGTTATTGAGATTCAAATGATTTGTCCACATTGGTGTAGGATTTGCCAAGGGTATATGTGAGCTCTGTCGATATTTTCCCATAAAAATCTGATCACTCACTTCATTATTCACAATCCCAGTTGAGTTAAGCAAAACCTAAGCAACTGATCGTATGGTACACGTATATATGTATATCAATGGGGTTCTGTAGCAAGCAAGTAATCGAAGGCCGCGGAGACTAGGTGATAAGTTCACCAAATTATTACCCTTTGACGACGTGTGTTCTAATCCCTCCACCACCGCCCAAACTGTCCCATTTATATGTGATGTATGGCAGACCATTGATTGGCCGCTTGCCCCTTTCGTGAAAATTCTATCCCTGCATAATCATTGAAAGAAAGCAAGAGGAAAACAAAGAAATAACATCTGGTACACGTAATTAGGAGATTGAATTTCAGCACACATCGACAGCTTCGTAGGATCTACTCACATCAGGAGTTCCTAAATTAGCATAGATAAACAGAGTTGAGGTTGTCCGAATATACCATCATTGCACATTGTAAGAAACACACAGAGTTGAAAATGTCAAGGTGGCCTGGAGAGGAATATAAAGCGAAGTTTTGCTACGAGGATCGTTTTTCCACAAATGTACTTAGTTCACATGTCACCATCTGGGCATTTGTGTTGTCATTCAGTTTCAGTTTATACAAACATTAACAACGCACTTTCGTGTATCGGTTTTGATTGAGACAGGAAAGATTGAAAGTAGGATCGAAGAAAAAATTTAAATTTTCATTGCATTGATTTTGCAGAGAAATTGACGAGATGCACAAACGCCACTGTTTACGATACTCAGCCATGTCACTCAGTGTTTCTAACCATCGGTGACCATCATCCCGAGGTCCCCATCCAGAGGGCCTAGCGGGAGCTATGTGACCCAAACTCCTGATTAGGGTTTTTATACCCACACACCAGGTCTTAGCTTGGCAATCTTTGACTTTCTTGTACCCACTACCTGCCTGGGCGAACAGCGCTCGGCGTGACATGCGTAACACATGCAACAACCAATATAATCTATGGAGGTCGACCAGTTGCAGTGGTGGCCCGGTGATAACGTCACCAAATTACCAACTCGGGAGACGTGTGTTCGAACCCCACCACCATCGCCTGACTCCCCATGGCAACCCTTTGATTGGCAGCTTCCCCTTCCTGAAAATTGTATCATTGTGTATTCCATAACATATGTTAACCGGCTTTTTTCAGCGGTAGTGATGTTATTTGACAACTGGTCATGTCTCAACTGTTGTCTACAAACTGTTCTGTGTATCCCTTATGAAGAAAACTCTCTTGGGGAAATTTCAGCTCACTCTCAATGGTTTCATCAGTACATATTTTCCTAGCCCTTTTGTTAATCGTCTCTGAATTTGGTTTGGTTTCCGTTCCAACGGTATAGGGCTTTTGAAATGGATACACTGATTACTCCCCGATGGATTCCTGTGGATAGTTCACTGGATAGCTTCGTCTGATCGACTACTTAGACGAACGTCCAGAAACGCAATCTGCTCATCCTCTTCGTTCTCTAAAGTGAACTTTATGTTTGGATGTGCGGAGTTAAATACATTTAAGAGCATTTACAAATTATCCGTGTCATGGGCAAAGCATAAAAATGTCATTCATGTATCGCTTGTATAACACGCAGCGATCGATTGTTCGTTTGAGAATGTTATTCACCAGCGTAACCATGAATACATCTGTGGCAAGTGGATCCAGGGGAGATCCCAGTGCTACCCGATCCACTTGACAATAAACTTCGTTGTTGCATTTAATTGGTATGTTATGTGCAAAAGGTTGGCAAATGTTTAAAATCATTAACTGATATTCCGATTTCACAGTTATTTCCTTCTATTTGGTCATATATGTACTCACTAGTTTCAGCAATAGGAACGCTTGTGAAGGGGGAACTGACGTCGAGTGATATCATGCGTAATCCGTTTATGTTTTTGTCTTTAATACTAGCCACCAAACCACATGAATCTTATAGTGTGTGGTTGGCGAGTTGTGCTCTCCCGGATTCCAGGATTGCTACCGGCCACTTAGACATAGCCTAGTATGGGGAGTTACACATGTCTAGGATCTGTTGGGGAGGCACTCCATTTGAAACCAGGTGGTTAATGTGGCCGAGGCGTTTCGACTCATCTACTTAACGCGCACTCTTTGATCTAAGAGGATTAGGAGTCGCATTCTGGCCACAGCGGAACCGATTGGAATCCGCCCACATAATTCCCCTCTCTATGTCCCCCCCAAACAATTTGTGAGAACACTCGGTCTTTCGTGGCCAACACCGCACACGACACAGTCATCCACCCACCCATCCCTAATGACTCAAACCAGTGTGCATGTGTGAGGATCAAAGTATGAGCAACGTCCGTTCATGGAACTGGAATGCTGATTATTGTTCATAGCGTTCGTACGTGGCAGTTTGTACGCGGTTGATTGTTAGTCCGATCCTAGTCACCGAAGACTGATGGCTGAATGTAACACAGTCAGGCACTCTAATTGGCGTGGTTCATGAATGCGTGAACAGATCGGAATGGCGAGGTGATAAGTGCGGTTAGCGTGTGTGTACTCATTTGACTGGGGTCATGTTTGTATTGTGTGCGTGTATACATGCAGGTGTGTGCATATGTCGTATGATTAATAAGCCTGTTCACAGTATGTTGGTTCGGTTACATGACCATAGTCAACTTGTGCGGATGCATACGTAGGGTGAACGGGCAGAGACCTGTGGATGACAATCGATTGGGAAACAGGATAACCTTAGTCTGACGATCATCTAGACCATATTTTAAATTATCCTGGATGAGGTCAGTTCCGGCGGTTTCTCTTTCACTTACATTCTCATCATCGGTGATGTAGAGAACACGGGTCTGAGTTTGGCTGCAGGGAAAGTGGAATTCAGTCGATCTCAGTGACTGTTCCAAGCTTTCTGTGTCTGAGTCCCTCTTAAATGGGATCCTTGTGAATAGTTTTTTTCTTACGGATACAGAAGGAGTAAGCCGAATATGCTTGTCAATGAACTTTTCCGGATAACCATTGTCTTGCGGCGTTTGGCGGATGAAACGCAGTTCTTCATCCAGTGTGTATGCTGAACAAATCTGCCGAGCTCAGAAGGCTAGACATTAGACTAAATTACGCTCATGTTGCACAGGAAGGAAACTATAAAAGTTATTATATTGGCCATTCTATGTTTTCCTATCTGTCTTTTCAGTGATCCATTTTCTTTCCTGGACACGGCTACATCCAGAAGGGCCAATATGTTGTTCATTTCAATCTCTACAGTGAATTTCAGTGACGGATATGCTTCGTTAAACGATTTCAGTAACTGTCGG